CGGTACGAAGCTCCGGGTTTCCAAAGCACCAACCCACCACCTCCGCCACCACCCCAGCAAGGTGAGCATCTTTTTAACTTGATTTTTTCTCCCTCTGGATTTTATTTGCAATACGGTTGTAGCTCTAGTCCCTCTTTTTTTAATAGTCTTATAGAAAACCATTGTATAGATATATATATTGCTACTGGACATTTAGGTAGTTAATCAGTTTAACTTATAAACAATACTGTAGTGAATGTCTTCTTTTGTATCTTCTGGTATTCAAGTGCCAGATATCTCCAGACTCAAGACCTGTTTGTGGAATAACTGTTGTCTTAAATTCTCTGCAGTTTATTTTAAGACTCTGACCTTAAAATAAATAAACTGATGCTTGTTCAGTAAAACTGTATGGTGATTTCTAAATCGTCATCTATTTATTGAGAGGGAAAACTTTTCGAGAAAACAGTGTGAATAAGCATACAGCTATGATCATTCATTGCTGAATCACTTTTGACATTGGCTTAGGAACTAGCACTATATTTAAACCTATGGATGGGAATTCCCCCCATTCTTGGTTACGCTGTAGTGCAAAAGAATTCCTGGCTCTACTTATTGCACAGCTGACTTGTGCCATTCTGCTGTTGCTGTACAGAGTTAAGGGACATGACTATATTCAGTTTGTATTATCTGGTAGCAGGGATGATTGGGATACGTGGAAGTTCCCACATACTCTTGAGGCAAAATTTCAAGATCCTGTCTTTTAAACAAAAATTTAAATATAGTCATAAATTAAGAGGTTCAGTGTAGTAGGTGGGTGTGTATATGTGTGCATGCCTGTGCCCATAACACTCTCCTAAGGTGGTTCTGACCCCCTCAGTAAGGCAAGAACTGGAGACTCGTTTAAATGGATTGGGTTTTCTAGAAATTTGAAAAGAAAGCATATAGGCAATATTACACTGTATATCAAAGAGTTATCTTAGTTGATTCAGAGATGTGTAATGACCTGGATATGCTGAAAATTGCAAAAGATGGCTATTTTGATTATATTCCTCTATATGCCTGCTGCCTTGGAAGACTTATAAGCACAGCTATACTCATCATTTGAATTGAATTTAGCACTTCAAAATAGATTTGCAGTTGGGTCTCTGTTTCAAACCTAACTAAAATTTTAAGAGTTTTAAAATACTTTATTTGTGGGAGGATACCTGACATTTTTAACCTTGTATACTTTTTGTATTTTATACAATGCATTTGTGTTACCTATTGAAAAGAAAATTATGAAGAGTTTTTAAAGGTGAAAATGTTGCTGTTCGGTAACGAACACAGCAAACAAATGTCAGTATGGTATATGGAATTAGATCTATTTTGGGACATGTTCTCAGAAATGATGGCTTGTGTTTTATAGTAGGATAATGGAATTCTCAAACATTTAGTTCATAATTTTTTTCATAAGCTCATTTGAACACAGCAAACAAATGTCAGTATGGTATATGGAATTAGATCTATTTTGGGACATGTTCTCAGAAATGATGGCTTGTTTTTTATAGTAGGATAATGGAATTCTCAAACATTTAGTTCATAATTTTTTTCATAAGCTCATTCTCTTATCTTTCTTAATCCTACACTATTTCAGGTTCTCCTGACCTCTGATAAAGCAGCGGCCAATTTCTCAGATCGTTCTTTGCTGAAGAACTTGGGACATTGGCTAGGAATGATCACATTAGCTAAAAACAAACCCATCTTACACACTGTGAGTTTCAGCTAAACGTTCACGGGCAGTTTGAGAATGTTCATGTAGCATATAATATCTAAAAATCTTGACTTTGTTTGGGGCTCTTTTAATATGATTATTGGGTTTTTGTAAGATTTTGGTTTGTTTTGAATTCCTAATTGTCCACTTGCGGTCCTACATCGTTTAGGATTTGAAAGAAAAAGCCAGCAAGGTGTGATTGTCATCTCTTCCTTTTTATAAGGCAAGAGTTAGATAGTCTTAGTTCCTATTGTGGGGATGAGCTTCGCCAGATTCCTTTGTTTGGGCACTTTATGAGGGCTTTGCGGGTATATCACAGCTTTTGAAAGTATTATCTTATTCTAGGACTTGGATGTGAAATCTTTGCTGCTAGAAGCTTATGTTAAAGGACAACAAGAGTTGCTCTATGTAGTGCCCTTTGTTGCCAAAGTCTTAGAGTCCAGCATTCGTAGTGTGGTAAGTACAATTTAATATTTTATGCATGGCTGATTTGTAAGAGTTTGTTTCAGCACAAGATCAAGAGATTATGTTCTTGGTTCTTATGAACATAAAGTTAGTTCAGTCCAATTTCCTCAGTGGGACTCTGATTTCTAATTTGAGAGGCTAGGTGGAATTATAGGACTAATTCTTATTGGTGGCTTTGGGTTTTGGTGTTTTTCTGAAACGATATATGTGAGAAAGCTAGGGGTTTTGTTACGGCAACATAGATAGGTATGTTTAAATGTTTTAAATAATCCAAATTAAAGGATGCTTTTTGGGCTAGCTTTAACATAATAGCATTTTTTTTTAGGTTTTTAGGCCACCAAACCCCTGGACAATGGCAATTATGAATGTATTAGCTGAACTACATCAGGAACATGACTTAAAGGTAATTTCTTGCTTCTTATCTTTTGGAACATTCTCCGCCTTCACATTATTAACATTTATAGTAAAGACAGAGTAATTGGGGGACGCACTATAAAAATTGAGTTGAGAGTAGAGTATGTTATGAATAAAACTAAGTTTTTCTGTTAAAAATTCTAATCAAATTCTGGAATTATACAGTTAAACTTGAAGTTTGAGATTGAGGTCCTCTGCAAGAACCTTGCATTAGACATTAATGAGCTAAAACCTGGAAACCTCCTAAAGGATAAAGATCGCCTAAAGAACTTGGATGAGCAACTCTCTGCTCCAAAGAAAGATGTTAAGCAGCCAGAAGAACTCCCTCCGATCACAACTACAAGTACGTGTGATAACTAGTCTAGCCCTCTATTGGCTAAAAAAAAAAAAAAAAGGAATGTCTAGGCATTCTTGCCTTGTTGGATCTCATCCTGGCAATTCATATGGCATTCTTAATCAAATATGAGTTAATCAGCTGTTTCTCATATCCCAACTAGGCCATGTTATCTTCTATGTTGTTTAAATTTCCAGAAATAATTGCATGGCTTGATAGCTTGTTTGGCCAGACCAGGTAGACTGGCCAGAAGGATGGATTATTTTATCTGCATCAAGAGGATTAAAGAGGGTGGGGGTGTGCATGTAGAGGTATTGAGCGATTGCAAGGTGTGGTTATAATTTTCTTTCTCTCTAAGCCCTCAGCAGCTAAGAATACCTAGGTAAACCAGGGAACAGGCTATTAAACAGACATCTGTAATACAAACTAAGCATACAAAGCTTGGACCTGCTAATGTGGCATGATGCCTCAATTGAGTGCTGTGCTGTGGGGCATTGCCACTGACATAGTTTTACATGCTTTGTTCACATACCTGTTATAATAATAGAATTTTCCTTTCAGGATGGGAAAGATGACATATGGGGACCTTGCCCCCCTGCAAGGCAAATTCAGTTAGTTTAATTGGATAATGACCACTTAATAGCCAACAGATTTTATAGTAAAGTCAACAAATGGGCTCTTTTTGATTCTTATGTTATCACTTTACATTTAGCAACTTCTACAACACCAGCTACCAGCACCACCTGTACGGCCACAGTTCCCCCACAGCCCCAGTACAGCTACCATGACATCAATGTCTATTCCCTGGCGGGCCTGGCACCACACATTACTCTAAACCCAACAGTAAGTCAATATTCCTTCATTCCCCTAGTTCCTAGTTTGTGACAGTGAACTGTTTGGTCACCTTCCTTTCCTCTTTCCCATTCCCTCTGGATTCCTAGGTTGTAGACTTCTTCAGAGAGAGTAGGGTTTTGAAACTGCTGTGTACTTGGGATTTTTTTTGTCTTTCTTCTGTTAAAAATAGTCAAAGTGACTAGACATCATTCATACTGGTTTCTCATATCCAAATCCATGATACTAAAATTAAGCTGGCAATAAAATAACAACCACGTGATCACACAGGTCAAAAGATCTGTAGTGTATAAGGTACCTTTTTGCTCTTTATTTTCCATTATCTTATCATTTTAGCCTTGTACTGTTTTAAGCCATTTTTTTTTTTTTTTTTGGCAGATAGCTGGCACTGAACTTATGTGTGTGTGTATAAAATGTCCAGGCTAAGGTTTTGAAGTGGAACATTGTACTTTCAATTATTTTGGTGTAGTCTGGTTCCAGGAGTCAATCTGGTATAAGGTCATGTAAAATAACCTC